TTCTTCATTCAAATTGTGTACTTTTACAACTCTTCCTCATTATATTTGAGTGATTTTGAATAAACACAAAATCTTCTGGAGCTAGTAGTACCCTAGTAGTACGACTTCTGAAGCAATCACAGCTTTTTGAAATTGTTGGCGTAGCACCTTTGGAGCAGCTTTCTAGCCTTGTGAAAGTTGGCATGGTTCAATTTCAATTTAAAGCATAGAGGCATAATAATGCATATATTTCTTTATGCATTTACAGTTTTTATTTATTCATTAGCGTACCTGATTTAATAGGTCATAGATGTGAATGATTTATTGAGATATCCATTATTTGATAATGCAGATTTGTGGTGATATCCATGGGCAGTTTTATGACATGAAAGAGCTTTTCAAAGTTGGCGGAGATTGTCCCAAGACCAATTATTTGTTTCTAGGAGACTTTGTTGATAGAGGATTTTACTCTGTGGAGACCTTTCTGCTTATGCTTGCTCTTAAGGTACTGCTATAATAGTATTTTTCAGAAGTTTTTGTGCTGCTTATGGGAGATCTCTTCTCTGATGACGTTTTGACTACTATTATCATTCACAACTATCACAACTATCAGCTTTGTCCAGTGGACTGTTTTATGTTGAATTTCTTAATGCATTTTTGCAAAAGTAAAGTACCTAGAGATGTAGATCACTGTGCTTCAAAGTAAAGTACTTAAGTTATGTTTGGGTCTGACACTAGGAAAACAGACAATGCAACAATCTTATGCATGTCCAAAACTCCAAACTCGTCCATGAACCCAATTTCAGCTTTTACTGGCCGCTTATGTACAAGGTTTAAAAAGCGGGTTTGGGTATCAAGGCGGTTTGTTCCTAAGAGGCGAGGCGTAAGCCTTGGGCCCTTGAGGCGTAAGCCTCAAAATATATAGACATATAAACATAAAATAGTTAAACTAGAAACAAACAACTAAAGAAGTAAAGGATATATCCATAATTATAAGTCTAAAAAGTGTGAAACACAAACACATATGAGCTAATGCCAGTAAGTTATTAGAATTCAAACACACAAACAGAAACATCACACGCAAACAGACATATCACACACAGAAACATCACACACAAACAAACATATCACACACAGAAACATCACACACAAACTGAAAGATGAGAAGGAAATATAGGGTTTAAATGATAAAATGAATAAAAGACTTGTTAGGGTTTAAATGAAATAAGACTTGTTGGAGTTTAGTGTGGACACATGTTTGATTAATGGACTTCTATTTACAAAGTACTCTGGGCCTTTTATTAAATGAAATGCCTTGGCCCTTTTTTAAGTTAGTGCACATTAAAAACAGAGAAACAAAAGAAAAACGCCTAAAAAAACGACTCAGGGTGTGCCTCAAGGCGTACGCCTTAATTTTTGCGGCGTAAGCCTCTTAACCCGCGAAAAAACCCTAAACCCTGATACCTAATCAGTATGCCTCACCTTGAGGCGCGCCTCAAAATCTGCCTCTTAAGCGCCTTTTTAAACCATGCTTATGTATTGTGCAAATTATGTATTCTAATATTGTGTTTTCTTTTGCATAATTTAAGTTGTCCGTTTGATCAAAATTGAACCTTTTATTATTCTAATTGTGTACAACTACATTAAAGTAACACTCAATTAATTTCAATGGAAAACAAATACAGTTTTAAATTAGGTATTTTCTTTGAAAAAACATAATGACTAACTGATTATGCAAAATCAGGTGAGGTATCCAGATCGCATAACATTAATCAGAGGTAACCATGAGAGCCGCCAGATCACACAGGTTGGTCCTTAATCATTCCATAGCTTAACTTATGGTGGTAACTAAATGGGTTCTGAACTGTTCAGGTATATGGATTCTACGATGAATGCCTGCGGAAATATGGCTCTGTGAACGTGTGGAGATATTGCACAGATGTATTTGACTATTTAAGGTTTGATGCTTTCAATATAATGATGCTAATTTTTATTTGGATATTATCGAACTTCTTAAGAGATTAGGAATAAAACTAAGTTGCATGGACTCCATAGATTTATCAGGTACATGCTTATTTGTTCATGATGACCGGATCTCTTAAGTAATTTTATCTTATGAAGTCATCACATGCATATGATGCAAAATCCTCAGATATTTGGATGTGCTAAGCTTTTCTCATTCGCTAATGTAGCATGCATGCTCTAGTGTCCTCCTTTCCTTGAGTTTTAGTTGCATGGGCGTGGTTCCATTTACTCATTGGTTAGCCTGATAGAAAAATGCAAAATATTTGCCAAGATTATCTCTTTTAGGTTGGATGCATTAGTGCCGCTGTAGGGAGTTGACCTTTAGGAATTGTAATGCTTGCATAACTTATTTTAAGCTTACCCATTGCAGCCTGTCAGCTCTAATTGAGAACAAAGTATTTTGTGTTCATGGTGGTCTGTCTCCTAATATAAATACAATAGACCAGGTGTGTAGTCTGAACATGAATCCATTTCATACACATTTGAGCTGCAAATGCATTGAACCTGTTAAAATATCTTAGATTCGAACAATTGATCGAAAGCAAGAAGTGCCACATGATGGTCCCATGTGTGACCTGCTATGGTCTGATCCAGAAGACATCGTTGATGGTTGGGGTTTGAGTCCTCGAGGTGCAGGTTTCCTGTTTGGGGGCGGTGTTGTCTCAACATTCAACCACACAAACAACATAGACTACATATGCCGTGCTCATCAGTTGGTAATGGAAGGATATAAGTGGATGTTTAGTCATCAGATAGTTACTGTTTGGTCTGCTCCAAACTACTGCTATAGGTAAGAACTTATTCCACTTTTAGCCTCACCACTATACAGTATAAACTATAAAGACAATCCTATTTATGTTCCTTAACTTTTAGTTTTCCACTTTGTCCCACGGTTCTGGCAAAAACCAACAAGAAATTGTATGGAAATGGACCAGATATATGGTCACGAATGGACCACAAGTGACGCAAGATCTATAGTTGTGGATCGAACTTTTCTATATGTAACTACAGTAACTTTCTTAAGCAAACCCGTAATTAGTAAAAATACTCTGTTCTTTGGTTTTGTGCCACAGATGTGGGAATGTTGCAGCAATTCTTGAGCTTGATGAGAATCTAAACAAGCAGTTCCGTGTGTTTGAAGCAGCTCCCCAGGTTCCCTCTTATATGATCCATATCCTACTCTGGAGTTCTGTTTATTACGCATCCATGATATTTAATGTTCTGAAGTCAAGTAGTTTTAAGCTTTTCTAAAGTCAATATATCCCATTCTTCACATGAATGCAGCAAGAAACAAGAGGGCCTCCTGCAAAGAAGCCCCCCCCTGACTACTTTCTGTAGATCCTGGACTTCTCTGTTATATACCATCAAAACCAGGATTGACCTGTTTGACTGGATGGGCTTTGTATGACCACGAGATGATTAGGTGAATTACTTGTGATACCCATTTCGACTGTAGAGAGGGTGCATCTACAACCAGCTGCCCTGTGATGAGCTTCTTGCATAGAATCTTTTTTTCTTTTTAACCTGATTCCTTAACGAAGTTGCAGTTACAGCTATGTGAGATACTATTTGTGTGGTTACATACAAAGTACAGCAGTGTTCCCCATCAAATACAGAAGATAAATTTTGGTCAATCTGATTGTAAGAATGAGACCCTATGGGTGTATAACAGGACACATTAATGTCCTCACATTACGGAATGTTGAAATAAAATCACGGAGTTATGGTTCTTATTAAATTCACATGAAACTCACAAGTACTCCGTGACTTTATTTTTGCATTTGTTAGTATGAGAACATTAAAGTGAGCTTACTTGGTCTCTTTAGAATTATTGTTGTAAGAATAGCTAAATTTAAATTTGGTAGCATGTTTTCATGTGGTACGCTGGTGTAGGGATGCTGGTGTTTCTTGTCTTAAGTTATTTACCCATTGAAATGATTGCTTGAGCTCCAATTTACTCCAAGTAGTAAGTATGAAAGTGCTTTCGGCAAAACAGAAGTATGAAATTTTAAAGCATTTCAAGATGAATCAACAATTCAACACAGGTCAGAGATATAGCATATATGATATATATAATCATATTAACCTATAATATGCAGACTGAAACCCTGTAGGCCTGTAGTATTGGATTGTGGTACAACCGTACAACAATCCTGTCAATGTGCACCTGGAGTCCTGGAGTTTTGATGCCAATTATCCATGCCTTTGCAACGTACATTTAGAGATCAAGGTGGACAAGGAAATGAACATGGTGTCGATGGAGTTGGACGTTTGTCTAAGCACAGTGCTTATTAATGCAACCTTTTTTTTACAAGAACATGTAATAATAACACTAAGGAAATACAAGATCAAAGAGACATGCCCAAAAAAGAAAAAGAACAAGAAAAACATTAAGCAACCCAAAAGGGGCTAAAAAGCCAAAAATATCTAAGTATCTAACACAAGATACCCTACTTAAAAATAAGAAGGGTAAAAAAAACAGAGAGAAGTAGATGCCGAGCCTCTCTGCCTTCAACAGTTCAACCTTCGTTTTCCACCTCTTTTTTCTTTCCTTTTCTACTATCCTACGGATCCTATCCTTGTGAAATTGTAAGTTGCTTATCTCCCTTCCCCATTGTCTCAGCCAGAAGCAGAGATACAGCTGGCTCACTTTTTGAAACACCCATACATCATCTAACACTTCATCTCAAATACTGAAATAAAGCTCGGGCAAGCTTCAAACCCATCTGGTGAATCACATTCTAGATGGAATTGCTACGAATCAGCTCCAAACTCCTTGAATCAACCAAAAGATACATCAAAAATTGCAAACAAGAAGGTTATAGCCCGGGAATTCCCCGCTATGATTTACAGTTTTCTGTTTTCTATTTAATTGAAAACAAAAATCTGTAAAAGAGAAACAACTTAAAAAATTAACATGATTAATACAAGTAATAACTTTTTGTGTTCAGAAAACATGTATGGTATACTCCCTATATCATTTTGGAATAGAGTACCTTTGACCGCACAAACGGGCATTATTTTTTATTGATCTTTTAAACCCATGGGAGGATTGTACAGTGGTATAGGGCAGCTGACTTCACAAAAGCATGACAACATAGATAAGCTGCTTTATTCTTATAGCCTCCCTATATTTATGAAGTGAGTCACTTCACAGTTATTATTATCTACTACAGCAACTGAACTACGGGCGATCTCATAAGTGATACAGATGTAACAGCAATATACACCCACACACCCACTCTCTAGCTCTTGTTTATTGACTGATGATTAATGCAGTGTTGTTGGGAGTAGGCTCACGGGTAGAAATATGAGAGATTGCATCTTCCTTTGATATGGCGACATAGTTGACAGGAGCAACTGCCTGTGCGATTTCTCTCTTCACACCGCCCTCCTTAGTTGTTGACCGTGGACTATTCTGATGAGAGTTTAGTGATAGCCTCCTGCTACTCGTAGCTACACAGGCATTCTCATTTGCTCGTGGACCCACAACCTTCTTTGCACCTAGTTGTCGAGCAGGACTTGGTGTGGTGGCCATTTCTTGTTCTTTGCTTGTCTGATCATGAACCTTCTTTTGGTCCTACATATTCCCAAAAAAAAAGACAAAACAAGTGTTGAGATTATCCGTTTGTTACTCTCTCTGTCCGAAAATTATCTTCTTGTTTTGATTTGGCAAGCTTTTTATGAGGAGTGTTCGAAAATAAAAGGTGTTGAAATTTGGTTTGGAGTGAAACGGAATTATACATTTTTTTCTTACAAGAAAACATGAAGAGAATATTAGGACGGACTACAAAGGAAAACAGCAAGATAATTTCACGACGAGAGAGTACAGGAAAGATGAGACATTAACTAGTAATTTGACCATATTACCCTCAACTTTCTTTTCTCTTCTTCTTTCTCATGCCTCAGCGTCATATACTCATCTAGCATGGTAAGCAAGGGAACGCCATCATAAGTGAATGATGTGTCATGTTCTTCTTCCCATGCCCTTGTTTTGTTAACCAGGGCATCAACAAGAGCTACATAGTTCACACAAAATTCATTGAGGCGTTAGTTTAGATGCTGGGAAAAGATAATCAAGCTGTGAACTGTTTGTACTCTTCATGAATGAAGTGAACTTAGATGAAAAATACTTTATTGATAACAAAACAATTTAAGTTACTCATTAAAACAATTGTTTGAACTCCAATTTACACTAAGAAATTGAACATTTAAAACAGCTTGAAAGAGCTTTTGGCAAATAAAAACTCAAGTATGAACTTTTGAAGTACTCAATATCAATCAATGTACAGATCAAAGGCATAGCATAGATATATAACCAAATTAAGCCCGTAATATGCATATTGAAACCCTATGGTGATATTTGGTTGTGGTTCAGCATTCCTGTAAATCAGCACCTGGAATTTTGTTGACGAATATCCTTGCCTTCTCAGCCCGCTTTAGGTTCAAGTGGGCACCTCTGCTCGCACTGTACCTATTCTCATCCTGTTTTGGTAATCCAGATAAAAGTAACACATGAGAAGTGTTTATTTCAGAGAGAACATGTCTTAAGAGGTATAGCTATCCAGCACAAAGTGCACCACTGCAAAAAAAACTCTTATCAATTTTTGCATACACAGATACACTGCTGTGTCTTTAGATATTGTCAATAATTTATAAATAAGTGAATGACACCTCAAAAATAAGCTCATGACAAGAAACATGATATTCAAACTTTACTGTTTTAACATTACCACTCATTTCCTTTTAGAATTTGTATACATGGTTCGCATTGTTTCTCTCCTCTTCTACATGAATATCAGCAGACAGTTTCATTTTCTTAATATCTGTGTCCGGTCAAAGTGTGTACTTATTTAGAGATGGAGGAGGAGGGCGTATAATATTTGGTTTAAAAATATTAAGCTGGTTTTAGAATTCCCTCGTAAAAAAAAATTACGGAAAAGGCAATGGATCCAATGAAACAACTTTTTTAAGGAAGAAAGTGTAAAAGTTACCCGATTATAATCCTCAAGCCAGCTCTCTTCTTCGCAAGCAGACATCCATTTCTCAACCTTATCCAATATTTCTTTTCTACTCAGGGCCTCTTCTTTTGCTCTTGTAATCTGGTTATCCATGTCAGCCAATAGCTCCACAGGTTCAACATTACCAGAGTCGAGCGTCATCATGATTTTTTCTCGAGCTGCATCAGTATCAATCTCAATGTGAGCACGTGAAAAAATTTCTTCGAGCACAGCCTGCTTTTTAAAGGCAATCTCCTTCATCCTGCTAGCTTTTAGCTGATCAAGTCTTTCAACTTCAACTTCAGCCTTGATCAGAAAGCAAGAACATAGTAGTTAATAATAAGCCCAGTCATTTTATGTATATTTAGTATTTACAGCCTCCATAGAGTTCGTGTTTATCACCTGCTCAATTATATCTAGAGCAAGAGCACCAGGAACGCTCACTTCATTCACTGAAGCTGATGCATTGCAAGTAACATGATCAAACAACCTCCTTTCCTCTTCAGGGGTATCCATCAAATTCCAAAGATCAATTAGTTGAGCTCCTAAGGCTTGAAGCTGTTGGATAGATCACAAATATCAAAAGTCAAAACAGGTTGTATTTTTTCATAAAGCAGAACTCAGAAGGCATTAGAATAAAGCTTTACGAGGAAGTGTGCAGACAAAATATGCTACCACATTAGTTTCAAGTCAAATTGCACCAAGGTTCTGTCCAGTTGTTATCTCAAAGAAATATTGTCAACCCTTGTTAAAGGAAACTATGGGCGAAATATTTTTGCATTCTGTTTCTTTGATTTGTAGTGTCTACCAGACAGGAATGCATCACTTGACAGTTTGGACTAAAGGCAAGTTCATTTATTTAAACATAAATTATGTATCTTGCTAAATGACCATATCTGCCATGCCTAAATTCAATGATCAATCCTATCATCTAATCTTTAGGTGATAAAATAATAACCTTTTGTAACCTCTGCTCCTTATCATCCTTGAGAGCCAAGACTGTTTTTGCCAGATTCATCAGTGTATCATCAGTTATGCTTTTTGATTGAAAATCAGTCGAGTCATTCAGACTTGGGTGAACTTCAGTAACAGTTGAGAAAAAATCTATCCCAAGAACAGCACAAAGATCATGCACAGTGCTTACAAATTCAAGAACCTTGTGCAACCTCTTGCTCTATACAGCACAGAGAAGATAAACTTGTTAGAAGTGTGAAATTAATTTCAACTAGCAAGAGAGATTTGTGTCCTTGCAACATTTACTGGTTTCACCTTTTCTTTTTGAAGTTCTTGGAGTTGAGCATGAAACTCATCTAATCTTCTCAGGGATAAATCAGACTTATCCACTGTTGGACTTGCCGTCTGGCCACTGGCCCCAGAAATCTCATTGGTTAACTTCTGTATTTGTGATTGCACATCAAAGAACTCATTTTCCCTCTCCTCTTTCAGCGCCCATAACTTTTCTAGTGCAGGATTTATAGACAAAAGTTGTTCCTTGATTGTTCCTGATGTCTGCTCTGGCTGCAAATTGAGAGTAAATTAGATGGAATGCAATAAAACTCCGTAATTACTGAGCATCACATCCTTAAGTGTCCCACTCACAATTCCAACAGATGACTTCTCCCCAAGTGCTGATTCAAGCTTTGCAAGTTCACCGGTGGCATCTGCTAGTGCCTGAAGGAGTTGAGCCCTTGTATTCATAGCCTGGTCAACCTTTCTCTTGTAAACACCCATACATTCTTGCTGCAACTGGAGAAGCTTCCTGTCCCGCTCTTCATCACTTTCGCCAACCTCATCCCATATTTCCTACAATAGAACATTTTCACTTTTAAGGAGTTCCATATCATTTTGAAAGTGTGAAGCAAGTCAAGTAACAATGTTCCATATCTACCACCACCCCTGAATAGAACATTTAAAGTACGAAAGTACACTACCTGCAGTTGCTGCAACAATGACCCACATGTTGTTTGAACATCCATTGCTGCCATCGTCTGTCACTTTGGACCAATCCTGAGAGATGATTCAAATAGTTATTCATGTAATCATATACTCCCTCCGTAACTTAAAAATCTTCCCACTTTCCTTTTTCGTCCGTAACAAAAAAAATCTCCCCATTTCTAAATCTTCCCTTCATACCCTCAATAATTCTAAAAATAATACGGAGTACACTATTACAACTACTTTTTTTGGATTTATCCTACATTCCATCACATTATTCCACTATCTTCTCATCATACCCTCAATAATTCATATCCTCTTCCACTATTCTTAATCTACCTACTTTTGAAATGGGAAGGTTTTTAAGTTACGGAAGGAGTATATATGTATGTAGTGAAGGCTTATAAATCACCTAACCAAGAAATTGAACAAATAAAAAACACATTTTCATTTTCTAGCATATAAACTCAATATTCAAGTTGAATTATTCAAGTTGAATAGTCACACAAACTACTCTCACCCTAACTCGTAACGAAATAAAAAACAATTCATATGGGATGCTAAGTTCATTTCATCAGCTCATCTCTAACTCAATCATAATGCAGATAAATAAATGCGTGAAGCCCGAGACAAACAACAAAAGCATAAAGAAAGCTTCAGCTCTCAAAATACTCTTGCCAGTCTAATGACATGCAAATGGACAAAAATCAAACCACAACAAAAGGTCTAGTAAGTTAAAATCACTTCACTGACTTCAATACGGTTAGATCCTAACAAGCAAGCGGATTCACGCATCAGCAAAGAAAACAAAAAATAGTCGTACTAAAATGATGTTAAAAGCATAAAACGAAGAGAATGCTTTACTGAAGCCAAAGTTCGAGAGAGGTAGTTCTGCCTTAGATCTACGGAGTGGCTTAAGAATCAGAGTGTGGGTGTTTGTATCGATCAGTGTGAAGAGTGAATGAAGAGAGCAATGGGGGCAGTAGTCACTCCTCTGCTAGTAAAGAACAGAGTTATGGTCATAGAAAATACAAAAACATACGGAGTACACTAATATTGTCCGTCAGGTACGAGGCAAATCTTTGGTTAGTAAAAACAATACACAAACAAAAGAGGATGACACTTCATCCGTGAGAGTCCCACTGAGCTAGGTCCCCTGTGAACTAGGCACTACCTTCCTATCAGGTGAGCTAAGCTCCCGGTGTAAAACAATACACATTTTTTACCGGAAATGTTGGGTGAATTGAACACATTTTTTGTCCATGCTTATCACATTTTGTTTATATGGAAACAATTAGTAGTAGTATAAAATTTCTCCATCTATTTAGAGCACGTGTAAGGGTGGGTTTAAAAAGACGCATACAAATATTTACACAAAAACAATTGGGTGTTTGGCAATTCTTCTATTGGGTGTTTAACTTATACATGTGCTTGTAATTATTTTTGTAACTATAAACTCTTTTCAGTGGAATGGTTTTAACAAATTTATTAAGCACATGACATGATCCATAAATAAGTAATTGTAATCCTGAAGGTTTAAAAATCCAACACAGTCCTTTGAATTTCGTAGGTGTTACTTTGTTACATGAGTTGCTTGGGTGAGTGTTTAAGGCAAGAAAAGAGTAAGAACAAACAAGTAATTTAGAGGCAAAGTGAATCCAATTCTATTGAAGTCTTAGAACGATTCTTATAAAAGCATTATAATTCTTAACTATATTTTCATTATTGAAATTATTGTTACTACTACTTAACCATTTGTATTTATTAGAGTAGCAAATACAGGGCGGAGGAGGACTTATTTAAGTTAAATTTGTTGGCGTTGGAAACATATCAAAGGTGAAAGGAAATGTATTATAGCAGGGATTAACCGGTTCAGTTCCGGACTGGTTAATATCCCAAAATTAGTCAATCCACAATGTCTTGCGTCCAGTTTTTTTTGTGAGTTGCAACATTTTTGGAGTGAAAACCTCAAAAATGTTTTTTGTGAGATGCCATAGCCTAACATAGCTTTAATATGTAAGTTTATTAAATAAATAAGTTACTTCGTACATTTTTGAGAGTATTGCACTTAAAAAAAGTTTAAAACATAATCCTTCCACCTAATTTATATCTTCAATTATCTCCATCTTAAATTTATCTCATTTTTCTTTTAAGTAAAACATTATGTGGTTCATAATATGTCATTCAATTCTCTTCTAAACAAATATCAATAATGCAATATCTATTTCTTAAGATTTATTCCAAATCTATTGGGAAGATAAAGGATGCCGCGTGTTGTAAATTTTAATGTTAATCTTATTTTGTTATTTGAATTTACTTTGTTATTATATTTACTCCGTGTTGAAAATATTGTTCATACTGAGAGGATCACAGGACATTAGGACACATGATATAACAAAATGAATTTTCAAAAATATATAATTAAATTCAACCTATGGCCAATTATGCTGAATGTCTTTCTACTGCCGAAGGACCCGTGTGACGAGATTGAAAACTTGATGAATGGGTTGTGGGGGGGGGGGGGGGGGGGGGCTCAAAATTTGATAAAAAAAAGGTTTGCGTTGGAGACGGTGGGAGGCTATGTGCAGTGTAAGCCGAAAGAGGCAGGGGGTTTGGGGTTCAGGAGAATAAGGGGATTTAATTTGGCCATGTTAGCCAAACAAGGTTGGCGTCTCACTACGGAAACAAGGTATTTCAAAAATTCTGATTTCTTAAATGTAAATATGGGTAAAACCCTTTTTTTATTTGGAGAAGGATTTTTGAGACTCAACCTATTCTTAAAAAAATATTAGAAGAAGAGTGGGAAATGGTATTGATGTCCAAGTCTGGGGGATGCTTGGTTACCGGGACTGGGTTCGGAAAAATCACATTAGCACGACCAGCTGGAGTTATATACATGAATGTAGCATTACAGGGAAGCATTGAAAATTTGAAATCAAGAGAGAATCAAGAGCATTTTTAATCCGGAAGATAGGGCTCTAATTATGAGTATTCCTATTAGTATGCGGGATAGGAAAGATGGATTTTGGTGGACGAGTGAAAAAGTGGTGTTTTCGCAGCCAAAAGCTGCTACAAATTAATTGTGGGAGATGCAGATGGGGAATTGGAGTGGGTGGGCACAGTTATGGGAACTTCGGTTCCCCCCAAAATTCAAATATTTTGTTTGGCAGGTTAGGTACTCTACCAATTGTGGACAATCTAAGGAGGAAGAGTGTGACTATACAAGGAGGTTGCAAGTTATGCGGGGATTTGGAGGAGTCCTTAAACCATGCGGTCCGGTCTTGTGCTTACGTTGGGGAGGTGACGGCACTTTGTCGTGGTGTGCCTCAAAATAATAATCAATACAACAATTATACGTAATAGAATGAAGTAAGGTTCGTATCCGTAGGGAAATGAATATTTCTCTTTTATATAACTAGTAGCGGGGGGGGGGGGGGGGGGGTAGATTGTCCTTTGAACTTTAAGAATATTTAAACACTAAGATGAATGACTTATGTGGTTTTATTAATTAGAGATGAGGACTTGATTTTGCTTATATCCACTTAATGAAATGTTCGTCGATCCCGATTATATCTATAACTATCTTCCTCTCAAATACTCAATCGAGGAGTATATCCAATTCCTCGAGGGTAGTTATTAATAACGAGACGTGTTCATTAATAAAACTTACTACCAGGTCAATATAGAACACGCGCCGTAATGCCGTATATCGACCCGATAGTAGCAATAAAACGTAATATGAAAACGATTGAGATTGATAACCTCAACACAAGCGGTTTATTGGTTTAATCAATATAATTAATTCCCCTTAGATTATTAACCATGAGACACATGCATTAATAATTCAAGTTTACTACCGTGAAAGGACCGAACGATTAACAAACGTATTCGTTGACTGATTCTAGTAACGGTCAACATTTCATAAAATAAGATTATGAAATGAGATGAATTGAACAACATTTCATAACATTTCATAAAATAAGATTAATTCTAGTAACGGTCAACATTAACCAACGCACGTCTTTGACCGTAATTATATCTTAATCTCTATTAGTAAAAAAAATTAAAAATCAGATTTTGAAAATTTGTAATGAGATGAATTGAACAATATTTTTTTAAAAAATTAATTCTCATAAAATAATACGGAGTAGCGTAAAATGTAGTCAAAGTAGAGCATGTGAATAGTGTAAAATTCAACATGTTGCGATTAAAAAAAACGGAGGATAGTAATTAATACAAAGTATATGAAACAAAACTAGTTGATCCTTTAAGTAATGCTCAAAATATTAATATGAAATAGGAATTTAAAGAAAATGATAGGAATTTCAATAGGAATTTAATGAATATTCAAGGAAGATGATTAAAGGAAGATGATTAAAGAAAATAACTCACAACTTACAAATCATTAAGCTTCAATGTAGCAAAACCAAGATGGAAGAGTTTAGCTCCTCATTTGGATTCTAAACATGCTAAAAATATAAAGGAAACACTTAACTAAACTGAGTTTTAGAGTATAAGAGAATTGGTAATTTTAATGTGAAGGAAAAGAGTGTATTTATAGGTAAATGGAAGCAGCAGGGACGTGTACCCGATCGGGTATATTTGGTACCCGATCGGGTACCTTCAGAAGCTTCTGGGAAGTTATGAATTTTAGCCATACCTGACCGGGTGGGTCGGTGCACCCGATCGGGTATGACAATAGATCGTGGTCAAATATCGCCTTGCACGTTCCTTTGTTTTCTGGATTTGATCCACTGATTCGCAAAACAAGTAGGTACCCGATCGGGTATAGGGTGTACCCGACCGGGTACAGCCCAAAATCGAGATCTTCCTTTTTGTCTTGCATTTTTGCAGCTTCTTTCCTCTTTTGGGGTTCACCAATGGTCCCTTGATTGATCATGGACCTGTTTTAGCTCAGAATAACACTAATCTAAACAAATTACAATTATTTTACAAACTAAAGTATTACACCAAAAGTGTGTAATTTCCAAAGTAACAAACAACAAAACTAACTAAAAACACAAACATACACATAGAAATTACAAGAGTATCAGGTCTGAGCAGCTGGCCGGAATTCAGACCGAGAACGAGGCTGTGGCAGAGGCTGGAAAACCTGGGTAAAGAGGCGATGAGCAGGTTTCTCTCCATTCTATGGAGTATCTGGAAGCGGAGAAATAATGTGGTGTGGAAGGAACATAGATTGGAGGCGGTGGGAGTACTCAACGCCGCGGCGAGTGTACTGGCAAACTGGAGAGAAGTGCAGGACAGCAGGCCTGGAACAACGGCAACGAGCAGCAACGGCTTGACCTCATGGCAGCGGCCTAGGCTGGGACATATCAAAATTAATGTAGATGCGGAGGTCAATTAGGAAGGGAAGATTAGAGCATGTGGTTGGATTGCACGATATGACAAAGGGGAGTTTATTAAAGCTCAAGGAGTCTCAAAAAAGGCCTCTGGTTTGCTGAGGAGACAAAGTCTCTAGGTGTTTGGGATGCTATTTTGTGTACAACTGAGGAAGGTTGGCAAAAGGTGGAGATCGAGACGAATGCTCTTACGGTGGTGCAGGGTCTTAAGAAAGGAGAAAGATCGTCATATATTCATCTAGTCCTTGATGATAAACGGAAGATTTTGGAAACAAAGAGTGATTTTGATATCTCTTTTTGAAGAAGATTGTGAATCGTGTGACTCATGTTTTAGCCCGAGCACATGCTTTTATCTCAGATCAGAGAATTCGTTATGATGTTATTCCAGATGGTATTATTAGCCAAGTGACAAACGATTTATTGATTTAACATAAATTTTGTTTTACGATAAAAAAATATATAATTAAATTGAAAAGCCAGAATAAAAACAATTGTTACTTTTCATATAGGAAAATTAGCAAGCAACATATCCTAAATCGATTTCGTGCTTTATTATTATGCATCCCAATTATAATGTTTTTCATCAAAAGATGACTTCGTGCTTTATATTATGCATCCCAATTATAATGTTTTTCATCAAAAGATTACTACTTTTGAGAATATCATTACAAGGTCGTGAGTTGTCTAACTCTACCGTCTGGTTAAAAATTTAACTTGATCAAAACTAACAAAACTTTAGTCTTTTAGTCAATGCATTGAGATAAACAATAAAAACCGATGGTAAAAAATCAAGAAGAAACATGTAAAAGTGTTGAGATAACATTAGGGTGCAGAACATGTCATTTAATCATTTTCATGCTTTCACTGTTTCACATAACACGTTAACTGTAATGTTTCATCAATAGGTTAATTTGACATTTTATTTTAATAAATAAAGTAAAGTCAAGTCTAACTTTATCTAATGATATGAGACTTGCTTATACGGAGAATATCTTCAAAGCTCAAAAGTAACGTCTGTTTCAAAAAGCTGTGCGTGCAAATGGGAATGTACCGAACCTTGAGATAACATGACATTTATTTTTTCCAAAGAATGCTTCAACCAGCAAATCATGGGGGTGGAGAAATACACACAAAGCCATTCAGAGTAAATTGCATTCCATATCTAGACAACTAAACTGAAATCACCATCTGCCAGAATTAAAAAGTATTGCACCATGTTCCACCTATGATCTCACTAAAACTAAGCTACCTAGTTTCTAAATTAACATTATCTAGATCCGATGGAGTGAACATCACGTCGAGTTATTCCACCCTCCTTCCAGATGAAATCTGAACATCAATTGGATCATTCAAATTTCACCCGGACGGTTGGAAGAGCAACTCCACGTGCCGTTAATTTCACCGGTCCATAAGAAGTAGAGAGAATCATATGACATTTGCATCTTTCAGAGCACATAGCATGGAATAGGCAGCTGAGTTCTCTGCATCTCTGATCCGCAACATTTTATTTCCAGTAGCGAATAGCACCTGAGACTTCTTATTACCAACTGTAATAGCTAAACCATCAATGCTACCTACTTCAACTGAGCAGACAAAGTTCTTGTCGTGTGATGGGCCTATCTCATTCTCAACCCTGCAAACAGTAGGACAAATATTAGCCAGGAAACAGAAACAGTTCGTTAAGAATGTAGGGGACTGTTTCCCAACAGCAGAAGTCAACTCCTGTTTATCTAGAAAACTAGAGAACATAAAAATAAATTTTGCTTTTTTTGTGTTCCAAATTTAGGAAACATACAAAAAACATATTTACTTCAAGAAATGTTTTAGAATATATGAAAGTTATATTAAGCAAACACTTTTCCTTAACCACAACTGTTAACTACAGAACATGTGTGATATCATAACTATGTGTTGGTAACAAAAATCGAAGAAAAAAACGAGAGAATAGAAAAAGATGACAGAAGTGGGCCCATAACTTTCCTTAACTTGAAGACTTCATCTAACAAGTGCATACTTTGGTGCCAAGTGCCAAGGCAATAAGTTAAGGTAATGAAGCCCATTTAAGAAATCAAGGAATGATGCAAAGAGCTTATGGAGCAGACTTCTTCTCAAGGCAGTTTTTAAAAATTACACGGAAAAAGTTTAAACCAAGATATGGAACAGATAATGCTAAATGTGAAAAGCCTTCCAACCATGAACCTATACTATGTTATCCATAAACATGGGAAAACAGAACTTTATAAGTCATATGAATTAAAAACTACTCAGGAAAATATGTTTGTACCGGTAAGTAGGTTTCGACCATTTTTTTTTCCCACAAAGTTCATACAATTTCTGTTTTGCTCCATCATTGCCCATAGTCTCATCGAACTCAAAGTTGATTTTTTCAACTTTATAAGCCAGCTTCTCTAGTGCAGCCTTTGCAGCATGAAGCCTCGCATTTTCCTTCTGCTCTGAAGATGAAGAGACTAGGTGTTCTCCATCAATGTAGATGCTTGCAGTGTTGTTCAGTCCAGTCTTATTGTATCTTATGTCAACAGATTTTCCGACTTTCTGGCAATGTTCAAATAACATTGTCACAGGCTGAGGTTGCTTTTGCAGCACATCAGGGGTGATTATTGGCTCGAGTAAGCCTCTAAAGACCTAGCACCAAAACAAAATGGAAACCATATGCAATGGATAAATTAATACAGAAGGGGCTTCCGTTTTTGCAGTTAATTCTGGATCAAGAGGGAAGACAAGTCAAATCACCCAAACTCATCCTCAGTATTTCTAAAAAGAGATACTTGTCAAGTAGTTCCAAAACTGAATACAATAGGGTGCACAGTGAAACATTTATTTCTAATATGATTTATAAGCAGAGAGGGACTTATAGCTCCTGTTGCAAAAATCATATTCTAACGTAGCACTAGCCACTAGGTTATTCTTCCTATGCCCACTCTTGCTGTTACTTCTGAAGTTCATTGATCATAAGCTCAGCATCACAGACATGGCATGAGACAACACAAACATGTGACAGGGAATTTGTGCATTTTTTGTCACACACACTTACCAAATTTGTATTAGTTGAAGGCTGAATGTATAAACTGAGAAGTTGCCAAAGAGGAATTAGGCACTTGGGCTATAAAAAATTGTGACTAACTGCTTAATGTGTGTGAGCAAGATGCCAAGATGATGATCAAAATCTTGAAAAGTTGTGCCAATAGTGTAAACGACAATTGAAGCTAAAAAATGCATGAGAATCACATAATTACATCAGCTAAATTGTTTTTACATCAAATCAAGATTATTAAGACCATAACATTATCTCCACTTTGTGTTGAGAAGCAAACTCTTCAAAAAATATGAAGACATAGAACAAATTTAAAATAGCCGTATGCCAGCCAATGAGATCCATCCATAATTGATCACAATGCTTATAGACTTCCACACAACCTTCCATATTTCCATGTTTAGAGTGTGTATGAAAGCACCCGTTGAGGATATTTTTAGCCATATTAGACTTGCAATGAAAATGTGGCCATTATGCACCAATTAGCAGGCACTGTACTACCTTATAGATTAGTCACAGAAAATTTACAACGACTACAATGGAATGAAAAAAATAGATACAAACCTTCCAAAACTCCTTCAAATCGAATCCAACGTCAACGTATACAGCAGCGGCTACAGACTCAACGATGTCTGCAAGAATTTTTGGTGCTTTGATTGCTCCGCCATAGAATTCAGTCTCGTCTTCTTCCTGGACTGCTAGCACAAACTCCTTCACCTAATACAACCCAAATTCAGCCAAATTTAAATCAAACAAAATCAATTCTTTCAAACTAAGTCATCAATTCCCATCCTTTTAAGGCAGGTTCATCAAATTCTACCCGCATTGGAAGAAAATAAAAATTGAACTAATAACCACTGTAGAATTCAAATGGTATGCTAAGCTATGATCACACACATGTATACCTTTTCTTCAAGAGAAGGGGCATTGTGGCGGACATATCTGTAGAGGCTGTGATGGACAGCTACCCTAGCGAGCTTCTCGGTGCTGACATTCGCTGACCGAAGAAGAGAGAGTTGGCCTGGGTCTAGCTCAGGATAGGATAAGTAGACGAAGTTGGAGATGGCCAGCCCTAAAGCCATGTCACCTAGGAATTCCAGACGCTGGTAAGAGGACGACTCTGTGAAAGAAGAGTGGGTAAGAGCTTCTTCCAGAAGCTTCCTGTTTTTGAAACGGTACTGCAAAAGTTGCTCCAGTGCGTTAATAGAAGCCTCCATGTCGGAGATGGGCGGCAACAGAGCCGAGACACGCGTCACTGCAAATGGATTCATAATCCGTAGCCATGTTCAGACAGTTATCAGTATTAAAACAAGTAAAAGACTTCCTGAAGACGGGAAGAAAGAAGCTATGGAGCTGTTATGGAACGTACAAGATGGCACCTAACCAAGAAATTGAACAAATTTCTAATGAACACATTTCATTCTCTAGCATATTAAGCTAAATATCGTGCTAAATAAACAGGAAAAGATGGCACTTGAATAGTCACACAAACTGCTCACACCCTAAAGCTTAATTGTTTGGTGCAATTCGACCAAATGAAAACAATCCATATCAAATACTAAGTTCATCTCACCAGCTCACCTCCAACTCAATCATAAAGCAGATAAAGGCGTGAAGCCCGAGATAAACAACAAAAGCATAAAGGAAGCTTCAGGTCTCAAAATACTCTTGCCAGTTTAATGACATGGAAATGGAGAAAAATCAAACCACAACAAAAGGTCTAGTAAGTTAAAACTTAAAATCACTTAACTGACTTTACGTTTCGATCCTAACAAGCAAGTGGATTCACGCATCCTAACAAGCAAGTGGATTCACGCATCAGCGAAGCAAAAAAAAAAAAAACACAGTCGAGCTAACATGATGTAAAAAGCATAAACGAAGAGGATGCTTAACTGAAGCCGAAGCTCGAGAGAGGTAGTTGGGCCTTAGATCTACGGAGTGGCTTAGGAATCAGAGTGAATGATGAGAGCAATGGGGGACATTAGTAGAGATTAGAGAACAGAGTTGATAAGGGTAATAGCAGAACGGAAGCTACGGACAGGAAAATAGTTACAGAGGGGAATCGCAGCGTAAAAAGAAGTAGATAAGGGTAAAGAAAGACAAAATAAAAAATTGAAAAAATAAGGGTAATTAAATATTTCAAAAGAAAAAATTACTAAAAAGAGAAGGTATAACTAATTTTTAAATACATTTCAAATAGGAAAGTGTAGCAACAATAAAAAAAAAGTGTAGCAAGTTTTTTTAAAATATGAATAGGGTAGAAAATACAAAAACATACGGAGTATTGTAACATCAAAAGTAAATGATTCAAATAAATCTTTATAGTATCACTGTGAAAATAAATATATCTTTATTCTATTTTGATTTGAAACAAATATATGTCTGAAGTTTATATAGGTGCATATATACTTGTGGACGTTCAAAAGGTGCAAAAGTATCACTCAAATTTCTATAAAGGAGCAAATTTATCATTGGATATAAAATAGATAAAATTAAATTTTAAAAGCACTAAAAATAAATTATAAATTCGAAATTTAAAAATAAAATTAAAGAGTTCCAAATAAAGTTTTTTTAAATATTACCTCTTTTTAAATTGCAAAATTATTAATTATTTTGTTGTAAATGAAGCACTTGAAATTCATTAATATTTATTTTAGTCTTGTTGCAAAATTTTGAACACATTGTTACACTTTTTGAAATAACATTCTTTGGTTTTGTTTAACCTAAACAAAGTTAAATTCACTTTTTTGTAATCTTGGACTATTTATCATCATACAAAATATGTAATTTTATAGTGCAAAGAATAGAGAAAAATAATGAATTTTTTACATTGCAACACATATGTTGACACATTTCTGAATGAATCTTAAATATATAGTAAAATTTTGAAATAATATTTTATACCAACAATATTAAATTGTGATATAAAAATAATAAAAGGGAGAATTGGACACATTAGATTTTTGTTTTTATTTTATTTTTCAATTTCAAATTTGTAATTTGGGTTTGGTGTTTTTTGAGATTTATTTGATCTATTAAAATCAATAAGGATAAATTTGCTCATTTATAGGAACATGAGGGATATTTTTGCACTTTTTAAAAGTTCATGAGTATAAATATGTACTTCTACATAAAATTCAAGGGTATATTTGTTCCAAAAAATAGAACGAGAATATATTTATTCTCATACCCACACTAAAAAGATATATATGTACCATTGTACCTTTTTCCTATTGACAAAGTATATACAGGAAATGTTTTTTGACAAAGTATTTACCATGAATGTTGGGTGAACTCATATTTTGTTTATATGGCAACAATTAGTATGTGTAAGGGGGGTTTAAAAGAAGTGTACAAATATAATATTCAATTTTCAGAGACAAAAAATTGGGTGTTTGGCAATTCCCTTATTGGTTCGAACTTTTTTCATTTAAATGGTTTTTCTGTCTCGTAACTTATGCATGTGTTTGTAATTATTTTTGTAACTGTACACTTTTTATTGTGTCTGTTACTAATAAATAAACATCTTTTCATCGGAATTTACCGACATAAAACACACGAGAAATGTTGCAGACATCATGTAGTTTTACGCCAAAAGTAATACAGAGTATATTTTAGTAGAATGGTCTGCACAAATTTGTTAATATTACTCTTTAAAAAACTTATGATGAGTATATATATAAATTGCCAAGACTAAATCTACACTTTTCTCTAATTTTATTTGTGATCTTAAAAAGCTCATAGTATTAAGTATTAACATAACGGTCTCAAGAGAATTGTTTAATCTATTAATAATGAAAAGGAGAATGTACTTTTTTATTTGAATAACTATTAATAATGATGTTTTTTTTTGGAAAAAGCGTCAAATAAGCACATGTACTATTACTAAACTGTCACATACACCCATCTACTAAAAAAAGTTTCAAAGCCATGTATTTTTACTCCTTAAAAACAGTCATACAAGCCACATGACCGGCTAAGCATTTGCAAATCCCGGTTTTGTGCTTACGTGTCTGTTTTGTACTGGCAAATTATACTGTATGACCGGTATACCATGCTCATGGTATACCGGTTCACATATGGTGCCGTTTTTCCTCACAAATGGATGACAGAATACATATGGTGCTGCTTAATCATTGTTGAATACGGAATACGGAATTTAGTTAGTGCCTTAGTGGTACTCCCCCACGCTCATTTCTTTTATTTCCTTTTCCTTTTTTACTTTTAATTTTTATTTACTTTTTTACTTTGAATGATTCTTTTTTAATTAGGAGCACTAAATGTATTACATAGTAACAAAAATTTGATCAAATTTTCATCATTTCAAAATAAATTAATTACTTATTCTGTCTTAGTCATTATTCATATATAATTTTTTCTTTTTTTCTTCACTCAATTGAAATTACAACCAATTTTTATTTATACGTTTTTTTTGTAATATATTTTTCATATTCATACACTTTTTCTTGTAATATAGTAGTATCTCTTATCTCTTTTATATGTTTTTAGTGTTTTTAAGACAATAAATTTATTTATTTTGATTACATTTGATAAAATTTTACATTTGTGAATGTGTGAATTATGTTTCAAAACAATTTCTGGAATTACATTTTATAGTATATGAAGTTACATCTTTTTGTGCGCGAGTTACATCTTTCTATGCATGAGTTACATCTAATATTTTGTCAATTTTTACTTACCTTTATCTTTAACTAATTAAATTACAACTGAATTAACTTCTTTTTTTACCAATTTATTACAAAATTTTATTAACATACATAAAATAAGTATATTGTATTTCACATTCATATACTTTTTTGGGGGAAAAGGTACAAATATATCTCCGTAGTATGGGTGTGGGAACAGATATACTCTTGTTCTATTTTTTGGAACAAATATACCCCTGAACTTTTAAAAAGGTGCAAAAATATCTATCATGTTCTTATAAAGGGGCAACTTAATCCTTATTCACTTTAAATTAATAAAATAAATTTCAAAAAACACCAAATATAAATTAAAAATTCAAAATTAAAAAACAAAAAAATTTAAGAATGTAATAGTATCTAGGCCAATTCTCCCTTTTATAATTGTTATATCACAATTTAATATTGTTTAAGTATGAAATATTATTTCAACATTATACTATATACGAAGTATTTAATATTCTTTCAAAAATGTGCTAACATATGTTTTGCAATGTAAAGAAAAATTAAATTTTTTGCATTCTTTGCACTATAAAATACATATTTTGAAATAATATTTTATATTAAAAATATTAAATTGTGATATAAAAACAATAAAGGGAGAATTGGACAAGATTATATTTCTAAATTTTTTTGTTTTTAATTTCGATTTTTTAATTTATTTTTGGTCTTTTTTGAAATTTATTTTATCAATTTAAAGTACATAAGTAGGGGTGTGCACCGGTCCAAAACCGGACCGGAACTGGTTAGGACCGGAACCGGAATCATCATTTTCTTTGGACCGAAAACCGGACCTAAATCTAACCGGTCCGGACCGGTCCGGACCTGAATTTTCCGGTCCGGTCCGGTCCGGTTTTGACCCTAATTGACCCGGTTTTAAAAAATAAATATTATCTTAGAGTGTTCTTAGTTGGCCCCAAATTTTTTTTGGAATAAGGCTTGGATGTTGTTGTTCTAAATTATAATTTTATAAGCCGATATGCTAAATAGACTAAATAATTGTTTGTCTAGCTCATTTATTAATTTTGGAATATAGTTATCAAAACTATTCAATCGTAACAATTAGTTTCCCACAATAATTAAAACTACAATCTTTTGTATATATTAAAATGCAAAATCTATTATAAAGTAATAAAAACTAAATTAAGTCCAAACATATACTACGTATAAACTACATGTGCACCTGCAAATAAAGAAACAAATAAAAAGCAGAAAAATCACATAAATAAATTAATAAAAAACAACTTAGGAAATAATTAGACACCAAATATAAACTCCGTATATATTCATTTATATAATAAAAGACAAAAATAAGTCATAAACATAATGACTAATGATACAAAAGCAAGTATATATTTTACGGGAAAATAGGTTACCGGTCCATTCCGGTCCGGACCTGTTTTTTCCGGGTTTGACCCGGACCGGACCGGAACCCGGAATCTTACAAAACTAAGGACCGAAACCCGGACCAGTTTATACTGGTCCGGTCCGGACCGGTCCATTCCGGTCCGGCTCAGGTCTAAAATACGGTCCGACCCGGTTAATGCACAACCCTATACATAAGGGCTAATTTGTTTCTTTCTAAAAACTTGAGGGATATTTTTGCACTTTTTAAAAAGCTTAGGGGTATATTTGTTCCGAAAAATAGAACAAGTGTATATTTGTTCCTCCACCTATACTACAGGGGTATATATGTACTTTTTCCCTACTTTTTTTTTTACTTTTCCTTCATCTTATGAACGATTTACATGTTCATGTGCATGAGTTACATCTTCTTATAAGCGAGTTACATCAAACAAAGCGCGAGTTACATTTGGATTTATCTCAACAAGTTACATTCTGTATACACCTAAACTACATTTGCCATTAGTTAAATAAAAAAATCAACCTCTGCTATTAAAAACAAAATATATTTATTATTTACTTGAATTAATTGGGCAATCAGACTCTTTATTTATCATTTTCACTTTGAGATCAATGTTTTATTTCTTAATATCCGTATTAGATAAGTTACATTTCGACATGTCTGCAGTTACATTTTTTATCAGCTTGAGTTACATTTCATTACACACGAGTTACATCATTATGCTCCTGGATAATGAAAAACAAAAAAGGTTACTGTTCACGTGCGTGAACAGTAACACGCGATTTTTTCAACATGCTTCAAACGACGTCGTTTTGGGCGCAGGAGTATGATGCTCATGGTGGACCGGTTGCACGGTATACAAACCGTTTTGTACTCAATCACATCAATTTTTTCCACATCATCATATCATTATTGGGAAAAGGGTCAAATAGACCATCGAACTTACATAAAAATATCAAATAAACCCT